AACACGAGTTCATCCGAAATTGACATATTTGACGTAGTATTGTTATTGTTTTGAAATTTTACCGTGATTTTAAAAAAAGTTTTTTTTTTTTTTTTTATATTCAAGTTAAATTTACAATCTGTCTTAATAATAATAGACAATAAGTAAATGTGCAGTTAAGGTACAAACAAATTGTGACCGATACTTCATTAAGTAACCCTCTGTTTAGTGACAGTATAATAGAAACAAAAGTCCAAACTACATACATACTAATTTACATAATTATTTGCTAATTTTCTTTATGTTAAAAAAAGAAAAAAAAAAAAAACATAATCATACACTAGTTTGTGTTAAAGTGCTGGTTTACAAGTTTAATATGTCTTTTCTTTTTAACCTTGTTGTAGTGGGTGCCTGTAGTAATGCCACTGCTAAAGGATTGGGATGAATCTCTAACCTGATTTTGTATCTTTCACTAAACTTTTTTATTTCATCTTTCACTTTGCATATTTTTAAATCTCTGTAAATAGTATGATTTGAAACATACCATGGAGCTTTTGTAATTGACCTGAGAGTTTTTGATTGAACGCCCTGTATTATTTTAAAAAAAGTGAATAAAAATGTTTAACAACGTAGATTTATATATTGAAGACAGTTATGTTGAAAAGACAACAACGAAATTACTTAGGCAGCGACGGTTTATCAGAGATCACTCTAATCCCATGGAACTTTCTTCAGTGTTGTAAATATCTATTGCTATAAAAGTGCATAAGCAAATATCACGTATGTACATACATAAATACTAACATTAAATATATTTTAGGTGATTCTGGTTATCCACTACACGAGTATCTATGGACGCCTTTCCGAAACGCTTTGGCAGGAACAGTGGAATCAAATTTTAATAAAAAACATGCAAAGGCAAGGAACGTAGTCGAAAGGACGATTGGAGTGCTGAAATGCCGTTTTCGATGTATACTAGGTGAACGTAAACTACGATATCCTCCTAGTAAAGCAACTATTATTGTAAATGTTTGTTGTGCTTTACACAATATTTGCAAACAATATAATGTGAATGATCTTGAAGAAGAAACTTTTGTTGATGTGTTAGTACCACTGGAACCAGTTGAAGGAAACTTCAGTGGGACAGCAGCAGCTCATCGCCGAAGACAAATTGCGAATGCATTGTCATAGTTTAGTTGCATCCCTAAAATATATGTACATATATGTAACATAACTGCAATAAAATATCTGAAATTAATTTTTAATATGCAGTTAATACGTTTTTTTATTTTGAGTATTTAAGTTTTTACCAGGTGTAGAAGCACCTTCCTACCCTTGGAATATCCAATTGGCGGCACGTAGCGATAAGAAGAAATGACTGGACTGACGCGCTGTTGTTAACTCGGCTATAATCGCGTAAGCGGTGACTACGCCAATCAAGAAGAAGAATATTTAAGTTTTTTTAATTCCAATTCTTTTAGTTTTATTTAAATTTTTTCTTTATATCGCCTATCTTTTCAATATTTTCTTCCTTCTTTCTTTCTTCTTTCATTTTATAAAGCGCCAATTTTTCTTTTTTTACTTCGTAAATTTTTCTCTTGTATCTAGAAATTTCTTACACACCGAATGAATATTTTTCATAATACCGACAAGGCTTTCTTGCGTTTCTGCTTGCTTCTCCAAAGCCTTCATACGCAAATTTTCGCGCTCCTCCACTCTGCTCGTAGGGGCCTGCCTAGACGTAATGCTAACATTTGCAGCTTGTTCAGGCTGAACCTCGACATCTTCCAKATGTTCTTCTTCTAAATATGCAGGTGCAGGTGCAGGTGTAAGTGCAGTGCTTCCAAATGCGGCTCCGCTTGGATTCACTGCCTGCTGCAAACTGAGCAACTCGKCYACGGCCTGCTCCAAAGGCGTTAGACTGCGTTGGGTGTATGGTCCTCCACCTGTGGCTGCAATCTCTTTTCRGTTATCTGCAATTTTCCTTTTTAATTTTATCTGGTAGTCCAACCAAACCTAAGAAATACACAAATTAATACAGATATGTACATATATACAAGCAAAATTGTTTATTCTTACCTTATTCTATTCACTGCCACTACGTATTGGATTCCCGATATTGTTCCATTCTGAAACAATATCTTCCCACAACTCCATCCTATTTTTTTTTTTTTTGTGGAGCCAAACGGCGCCATTCCTCTGGCTAACTCAGGACTTGCTTCCATCAACTTCACCATTACCTCAAATTGCTTTTGAGTTGTTCATTTTATTCTGAAAATAATTAAATTTGTAATGAATTAAATAAAATAAATAAATATTTTTAAATTTTACTAACGTTTTCTCCATTTTTAATTAGATTCTCGAATGAAATAAACGTTCGCCAAATTTTGACAGTTGAGGCGAAGCGAATTTTATAAATTCGCAAGTGGCAATACCAAATATTAATTTTCGCTAGTTATTTCGCCACGAAGTGGCGAATTTACTGTGCGCTCGCTACTCGCAATTCGAAAAAGCGAAATTCGCCTAAAATTTCATTCGCTTCACTAGTGACAATACCAGCATTAGCCATAATTATGTTGGCTTGTCATAAGCTATCACAGCTTGTATATTGAGCTAGAGGCATTGCCAGTTCATCGCTTTTTTCATTCACAATAGCTAGGATTTTCTCAAAAAGAAGTAGTTGGTAAAGCGAGAAATCTAATTCTGACAAATAAAAATGTAAATAAACCAAAATTATAGATTTTTTGGATGAGTATTAAACTAAAATTAAGACAAATATGAACACTTGTTTTCAGTTTTTTGTATTCTGTATCACAAATAACTGAAATAAATATATTTGTATAGCATATTAATATTCCGTTTACAAATTTGAAATTTCGAACTAAATTATATATCAGCTGATTGTTCTTGTCCGCATTACCAACCTATTTAATTTTTAGGCGAATATATGGAAGTGCGTTTTATCTGTCCATGATTTAGCTATGTGATGGTCAAATAAAACACGGCTATTATATACTTATATATAATATATTTTTTGTAGTTTGCACCTTTTGGTTTTTTCTTTTAGCGCAAATATTTTGCTTAGTATTCGCATTTATGTATTTATTATTAGCATTACATGTATTATATCGCCACTGCACTGTACTCTTATGTGGTGACTGCACTGTTGATTCCTAACTTTTTTCCTGTTTTAGCTGCACTTTCTCGTCACAGCACAATTTTTTTTTTTTTTTTTTAATTTTGCTTAGATTTAATTTTTTTTTTTACCAAATAAAAGGAGGCCTCGTCTTCTGGAGCAGTCCGTTTTGATGGTTGGGTGGTGTCGAGTTGTGGTGTGATATATACTCGTGTTTATTAGTGTGGGGTTCTTCATTTGGAATATCTGAATTTGTGGTGTCTTTATATGTGGATCACGTTAGTGTGGAGAGCTAACTCATCTATTCTGGTTGTATCGAAAGGTTCTGCGAAAGATTTATGGTCCTTTGCGAGTTGGCGATGGAACGTTGAGCTATATGAGACGATATTGACATAGTTAAGCGAATTAAAAGGCAACGGCTACGCTGGCTAAGTCATGTCGTCCGAATGGACAAAACACTCCAGCTCTGAAAGTATTAGACGCAGTACCCGCCGGGGGAAGCAGAGGAAGAGAGAGACTTCTCCTTCGTTGTAAAGATCATTTGGAGAAGGACCTGGCTTCGGTTGGAATCTCCAATTGATGCCACGTAGCGAAGAGAAGRAACGACTGGCGCGCTGTTGTTAACTCGGCTATAATCGCGTAAACCTTGTCTACGCCAATAAAGAATGAGAAGAATTTCAGTTACAGGGTTTGTCCGGAAAGAGTGGTGCAAGCCGAAAACGCCGCTTTCGTTAGAGCAGAGGTACGCGATAAAATTCTGTGTGGAACTCGGTAAATCTGCGACAGAGACGTTTGATATGATCAAGCAGGCTTACGGAGATGTTGCTTTAGCAAGAAGTGGTGTGTTGTGGTCTCACCAGGCCTTTTTGAGGAACCGGGAGGAGGTCGCTGATGAAGACCGGAATAATAAGCAAATCCAAAGTGAGAACGATGCTCACATTGTCATTGTGCGTCGTCTACCATGAATTTGTTCCTCCTGGACAAACCGTTAACGCCAAGTTTTATGTGGAAGTCCTCAAGAGACTCAAACGAAGAGTCAATTAGGTCCGACAAGACATCGGAGCCGATCGGAAGTTTCACCTCGACAACGCCCCGGCTCGCACCTTCTTTGTTGTGAACAGCTACCTAACAAAGGCCGGCATTCAAACGCTTGGGCAGCTGTCCTACAGCCCCCCTTCCCGGACTGTTTGTTGTTTTTTGCCTGAAAAAGCCGATGAATGTGGTTAACAACCTCGACCTTCAAGGCTATTCCGGAGAATGCCTCCCGTAACGACTTCAATGCTTGAAAATCGCGCTGCGTCGATGCAGCAGTAGCCTATTTTAAAAGTTTTTAAAAAAATTTTACGATTTTTTCAATGAATTTTTTTAAATGGAATCATTCCCATTATTTTTCGAATAAACCCAAAATCTAGTCGCATTCTCGTCGTTTACAGTCATTATAATGGAATGTGGTCTCGAGACATGTAGGTTTTAATTACAGATATACCCATTCATTAATGTTTGCTCCAATATTTTCGTGATGGTAAATTTTTCAAAGGCATAATTAATGCTACTACAAAAAAAAAAACTAAACTTTCACCTTTCTGAGTCCTCAATTTGAATCCAAACGATGAAATATAGCAGTTAGCATCTAAGTAGTAATTTTAGCAAATTATAAGCATTGCGTAGAATAAATTTTTTTCCATACTGTGCAACTAAAAATTCCAAAAAAAAATTTATGGATTAGTAGTCCTGAAGTAAATGCCAGAAAACGTTATGCACTAAGTTAACATTTATATTTGTAATCTGACTATATTGTTGTATTTTATTCGCTCTACTATTCAAACTTATTTCTAAATTGTTTAACAATGTAAATACGTAAACACTATGAAATCTATAATTTTAGAGTTCCGCTGATTCTAACTATTCTCAACCCTCGTCCGATCTGTCGCTTGACGATGAAAAAGAAACACTTCGACGAGAAAGAGAAAGGCATGCTCTAAGCCAATTGGAAAAGGCGAGGGTAAAATAATGTTTTATATTTAATAAATTTAATTTAATTTTAAATAATTGAAACAATAGGGTAAACCTGTAGCTTTTGCAGTACGAACGAATGTTGCATATGATGCTACGGTTGATGATGATTCGCCAGTTCAAGGAAGTGCCGTGTCATTTGAAATAAGAGAATTTCTTCACATTAAAGAAAAGTATGATAACAATTGGTGGATTGGAAGGTTGGTTAAAGAGGGTTGTGATGTCGGGTTTATTCCAAGTCCAGTTAAGTTGGAACATATTCGTATACAGGTAAGTTCAAGTAATTTAACTATCACTCTATTTAGATGGCCATTACATATTATTTTTATCGAAAGAACCAGACGAGGCCATCCAGATTATATGGTACTAAAGTCTCTTCAGCAAATAACGTAGGAGCTGGGGAAACAATGCGTGGTAGTACACCACCAACACCTGGTAAGTTGGAAGTCTAAGATTTCTCAAATGTAAAATAAACAAGTTGGAAAGGCCTAAGAGTGTAACCGAACATTTTAGATTCTCTCAACTTGCAAAGTAAAAACCGTAAAACATACAGTTGTGTCCAATCAAAACACATTTTAAAAATTTTAAAGTGTTGCGCATATCTAGCAGTTTAGAAATTTTTTATTTAGAAATAAGTTAATGAAATGTTATTTATCAAAAATTTAAAAGAAAATATGAAATGAGAAAGACACGAGATAAAAAATTTTATTTTTTAAATTCAATTTCATTTACACTATAATTGAAATTAATGTTTTATTTAATTTTTTTTTATTGAAACACAAAGTTTAGTTTAAAGTATTTTATTTATATAAGCTGCTTTTGTAAAAGCGCAGAAAAGATAATTTGTGTTTTATTCATTAAACGAAATAAATTAAAAACTATAACTATAACTAGAACATATAATTTGGTTTACTTATGTTTACTAAAAACATAAAAAAAAAACAGAATTGACGAAAATTCCGAACGAACGAAAAAGTCCGAAAAAATTTTTCAGAAAGTATAGTGGTAAGCTTTGCTTAATAAAGACATGATAAAAATAAAACAATGACTAAAGCGGTCGTGTTCCCACTTTTGAGGTAGTTAAGATTGTAAGTGCAAAGAAGTTAAGCTCAATACGAATGCGAGCATTTACTTTCCAATCCTGAAAATCATGTATCTTAAATTTCATTTTTCAGTTCAGTTAATCTAACCCTTTCATGTCCAATGTTGCCTACTTCTTAGTCTTGTTGCTTCCATTCTTTTGACGCGCAGTTTTTTGCATTATGCAGTCTCTTTTATTGAGTAAGCTTGTCTGTTTTTCTATTGTAAGCTAATGTAAGCTGTGAGATATCGTTCATTCAGTAGCCACTCTCCGAAAAGTGTGAAAATAAATATAGAAATAATAAAAAAAATGAAGTTGTTCATAATAATTTTATAAACGTGCCAGTAAGTAACATCCTGTATCTAGCTAAGCAGGACGCTAAGGACTTTGAAATTTTTATAAATTCATATCTGCATCAGGACTACAAAAACCCTGTAGGCACATATTTCATAACTGCTCCGATTTTTATGTTTTATGAATGTATGTCTATTTGTATATTACGTAAAATGTATTGTTTGTAAAATAACCCATCAATGTTTTAATATGTATTCCTCCATACAAATGAGTGGCTGCCAGTAATAATACAGCCTCAGATGAAACGCTTGAGTTCATAGAGGCATAAAATGGAAGTAATTTTGGCAATTCGTTCTATTTAAATTTCAATTGTGTCAATTATGCATAGTGAGCGATAAGAACTCAGGTTTGTTTACTTTCTGCAATAGAACTGGGCCCTGTTCGGGTTTCCATCCAGGGTGTTTTAGAATTATCGAACAATTCAACAAATTGCATCAATTCTAGATAATTTACTAGTGCTGCATCTCTGACATCTGTTTTTTTTTCAATGGTAGACTTGCACTTTCTCGGCTTTGCTTAGGGAATAGCAATTCTACCACGTTTCTGAACCTTTTGTAAAAGGAAATTTTGCTTCTTGCGTAGGTGCCTGCGTAGGCCGCTCTAATGGTTTTTATCGATGTTACGTTAAGGAAGTCAAGTTCTTTAATTTCAGAACGAATTGTTTTTGCTATGCCTTCTTCCGTGGTCGTATCGTCCAGATCTTGTACCTCCACTATGGTTTTTTGCTTCCGTGTTTTAATTTACCTGTTTATTCAATGTTTCTCCTATCTCTTGTCTGTGCCCTTCAGTGCTTTAGTTTAGACCAAAATCTCTCCTTAGCTGTCTTTTTTCATTCTTAAGTCATTACAAGTTCCTGTGGTGCCCCATTCATTTTGACAATTCGCCGGTTTCTGCAATTACTATGTCATCGGGTCGTAGGCGTTGTATAGTATTTACATTCTTCTTTTTCCTTTGTGTCTTACGCTGAGTCTTCTTCGCTTGGCGATTTCGCTCATGCACCTTTAAGATTACCATATTTTCTCTTCCCTTACAAGTCATGTCGACTATCGTTTTCGACGATTGATCTTTGTGGGAAGTTTTCGCTTTTTCTGGACGTCTTTATTTCCATTTGCTTCCCGACACTTGGCGTTTTAGGTGTTATTTTGACAACCTTTGGCTGACATTACCCACTACTATTTAATTCAAGCTGTCGGGTGTGCTCATCTTTGTCGCCTGCATGAAGCTTCGCGATTGAGCTAAGCAATTTCCGCATGGAATAGTTGATGGATCGCTGTTGCGTACGCATCATATCGGTCAATTCTGGATAATTTCTCCTAGCTCAAACATATGATCTGATTTGCTTAGTCTTCCCTTTCGTGAGGAGGTATTTTCTTGCAACGCCGGTGTTGAAGATTTGCCCCTACCCACATCCACCTTCTTAAAAGGATCCATCTCTACGTATTCACTGATATATTTATATATTTAGTTAAGTCTATGAACAATAATTCTTGCAGACTAATGGAGAATTAGGATGCAAATTAGAATTCTAAAATAATTAAATTACAATTACATATGTAGATAATTTAAACTAAAAAAAAGAATTGAGGGTATTAATACCGGATACTCTAGAGTGAGAAAAATCAAGAGGAAGAAATCGAGTTAAACTCACGCATAGCACGCTTGAGAGGAGCATATTCCGCAAAATTAGTACTTACCCTTTTATAATAGAATGGGAAAATAGATCTGAGACAATGCTGAGGAGTATTGAAGTTAATTTTCCCTAATAAATAGGGACAGTCAAAACCTCCATTAATAACATTGAAAACAAATGAGAGGCAGAGAACGGACCGTCGATTTAACAGTAGTTTAAGATGTAAAAGCAATAAACGAGATGTATACGATGGTTTGGGTCAACGAACTTTAAGGAGCGGAGAACAAATTTAAGAAAAATCTTTTGAACACGCTCGATCCTATTAATTGACGATATACAATATGGTCTCCAGATGAACACTGCATACTCCAAAATGGACAAAACAGGTATACAGTAATTTCAACGTGTAGGGGTCGGAAAAATTTGAAGCATTTCGACGAACAAAGCCGAGCACAGGGAATGATTTAGAAGTGATATAGTTGATGTGATTACTGAGAGAAAATCTGTTGTCAAAGGTTACCCCAAGATCTTTGATTTCAGTAACGCATTTTAGGCGGCAATTAGAAATATTCTAACTTAAAGGTAAGATGCTCCGTCCCCTACCATAAGATCTATGATAAAATTTATCTAGATTCAGAAAAAGCTTCGATTTCAGACACCAATCATAAAAAGTATCAATATCACATTGAAGTTTGAATACATCTTACGAGTTTTTGATTATTGCGAAAATTTTGAAGGGAAGTGGACCAAAGCTGCTTCCTTGTGGCACTCCCGAAGACGAAATATATGAATCAGATGACACGTCTATTGTGCAGATATGATTTAATACACTGCAAGAAGACAGAGTGAAGCCCTAAAGATGATAACTTATTAACTAGAATATTGTGTGAAACTTTATTAAAGGCTTTAGAGAAATCTGTGTAGACACAATCTACTTGAAATCCAGCGGAGAATGCAGACATGCAATAATCGCTAAAAACCGCTATGTTACCCATGCTGATTGACATTAATCATTGATTTATTGCAAACAAATTATTTATATTTAACAGAACACTCAAAAATATTTGAAATAGTATAAAGTTTAGAAATAGGCCTGTAATTGGATACTACATCCTTTCTACCACCTTTAAGAATAGGGGTAATGCAGGTGAATTTCCAGTTCGAAGTACAATTCCCAGGAGAGAGAGACTTATTGAAGATAAGCATGAGAGGATACACCAAGACAGTACAATTTTTTATAAGTACAGGCGGAAGCCCATCCAAATCCAATTTGGAAGAAGACTTACTATCGCAAATAGCCTTGGTAATATCATCCTGTACAAGACAAAGAGTGAAAAAAATTACGGATAGGAAATTATTAGCTGAAAAACTGGAACTAGTACCAGGATCATCATGAACATAATTCGATTTAAAAATTCAGCAAACAAGTTGGAGATTTCGCCAGGAGTGCATGCTGACTTATCACCTCAGCGTAAAGCAGAAGGAATGGCCGAACACGCTCGATTTTACAAAGCTTCAAAAAAACTTTGGGTTCGACTTAATTGTAGACTCCTTACTATTAATAAACCTTTTATAGAGAAACTTTTCCAATTCATTAAACACTTTTATGTAGTGCTGATAATGAACAAAGGAAAAATGAGATTTAGTTGAAGAGATTTTTCTGTAGTATTTATTTCTAAGATTTTTTAAACGTTTGAGACCCTTAGTATATCAATGTATTTTTTTTGAGCAGGATATTATAATGAAAAATTTCCTGAATTGATTTCTTAAAAATGGAGAAACTATTAGCTGTATCTAATCCGAAAGTAAATCATCTCATTTAATCTCAATGAGCATATTGTTGAGTCGTTCAAAATCACAAAATGCAAAATTAAAACCAATCAATAGGTTTAACAGGAGTGAAAAGATTATATCCACCTCAAACGCTAGCGGAGAATGATGTACGGTGGCCGGAGTTATTGAAGAGAATCCATCAAGAAACCTAAATTTTAAATTATCACTGAGAAAGACTAAGTCAAGAAATCGATCGGGACTATTTGAATATGAGTTGATTTGAGTCAGATTTAGCCTAAGCAAGCTATCAATGAGAAATAACTCCTGAAAAGACGAAAAATTGGAGGGAATGAGAGCATAATTATAGGAACAACCAGACCTGACGATATTGCTTTGATTAAAGTCACCCAGAACACAAATATTATTCTCTTCCATCTTCTTTAATACCAGCGAGGAAATATTATTTGCATGCAACTTATACAACTCTAGAGGACAATTAGGAGGGATGTATGAGACTACAATGAGCAGGGTGTCATTGATACAAATACATAGTTGGTCCAGAATAGAATCGTCATTACCAAGCATAATTAAATGAGG